AAACCTGGCTGTTCCGACAGGCCTGGGGCTGATGAGTTCCCGTCCCCGCTCGAATGGTGTGGCTGTTGAGTTGTTTTTAAATTGTGGTATTGTTTGTCTATGTCTTTTTTTCCCTATTTGTATCCCCTATCCCCCACCCCCCTGACTTGGGTTGTGAGCCGCCCTGAGTCCCTTTAGGGAAAAGGGCGGCATAGAAATATAATAAATTCAATTCAATTCTGACAGTAGATTTTTCTTCAGAAATGTTTACCATAATTTATTTATTTATTTTATTTTACTTATTTTGTCAAGCGTGTGTAAGATAACAGATATAGGTGTAAACATGATTATGAATACAGGAAATGGGGACAGTAGGAGAGGGAGGGTAGGCACATTGGTGCGCTTAGGCAAGCCCCTTACAGACCTCTTAGGAAATGGAGTGAGGTCAACAGGAGACAGTTTAAGGTTAAAGTTATGGAGGTTTGTGGATGAAGCCCCAGAGGCAGGTAGTGTATTCCTGGCATTGTCCAAACTGTTGCTGAATTTTCTGCAGTTGAGTTTGGAGCTTTTGTGTGCTCATGTATTGTTGCGGTTGAAGCTGAAGTAGCCATTGACAGGTAGATAAGTTTGTGTACTCCGCTGAGGTCAGAATGAAGGCGGCATAATTCTAAGTTGTCCGAGCCCAAAATTTCAAGCCTGGTGGTATAAGGTATTCCGCTGTATTCTGCAGAGGAGTGGAGGACTCTTCTTGTGAAATATCTCCGGCAGGCCTGGGGCTGTTGACCCCAAAATATGGTCCAGCCCCATTTAGAACGGAGTGTATGGTGTGCTGTTTTTAAATCTATCTTTTTTCCCCTCTGTATTTTATTTTTTATTTATTTCTGTACCGTAAGCCGCCCGGAGTCCTACGGGGTTGGGCGGCATATAAATGTTATTAAACTTGCAAACTAAACTTGCAAACTCTGGAGTCGCTCTGGTATGCAGTGCAGGTTCCAGACAGATGAGCTGTATCCGAGAATAGGTCTAGCAAAGGTTTTATATGCCCTAGTTTGCAATACAACATTACTGGAGAAGCAGCTTCACAAGATTAGGTTAACAACTCTTAATGCCTTTTTGGCAATGCTGTTACAAGTGAGCTCCGGCACTTACATCATTAGAAGCGAGTACTCCCAGGTCCTCGGCAGAGTGCGGGTCAGCCACGAGGTTGTGTGGATGGAACGTGCTTTATCAGAAAGCATCCATTGATTCAGTCTCTTGGGTGTATAGAAATACCAAAAGGAGTGGGGAAAAGTAACCTTTTAGACCTGGGAGATCAACTTGCTCTTTCGGCTACCTCTGGCTAATAAGGCTGCAATGTCATCAGATAAGGCAGGGCTGAAATCTAACTCCACCAGAGGGGAATGTTCAGAGCAATGAAGCTTTTAAATGGCCCTCTCCTGTTTTAAGGTTCACCAAATCTTGAGTTTAACATAGAACATAGAATCACAGGGCTGGAAAGGGTCTTGGTGGTTCTCTAATAGCAATAGCAATAGCAGTTAGACTTATATACCGCTTCATAGGGCTTTCAGCCCTCTCTAAGCGGTTTACAGAG